ATTAGCAATTAGCTAGCAACTGACATTACAATAAAATTTCTAATTTAATTATCACAAAATATCTACAACCAAATTTGGAAACCTTAATGCATCAAACTATCTGAATGAAAGCAACAAAACAATATTCCTAACTAACTATCACATAACCAACAAACAAACTATACAAACATATTTAGATTCTTAACACAAACCAGAACAGTATATACTTACAGTTGCACTTGTGGTCTTCCTAACCAACAACATACTAGAGACTTTAACAATTCTTATATTTGCTTAGCACAAGGAAAAGCTAATAAAAAACTAACTAAATAGATATCCAAATGGATAAACTACAGTACTCCAACTAATCATATTTTATATTACCAAATCTAGGTGAGTTTTAACCACTCTAGTAGGTTTAGGTTACAGATAAATTAGATAAATTAGATAATAATTTCATCTATAATCTAAGTCTCATTCTTGTAAAAAATTTGTAAATTGACTCTGGCCTGTGTCAATTCATATAGTTGCCTATAACAAATTATTAATAAAGATAAAGGCAAAACCTCACCTTAACACCAAAAAAAAAGAGTATCCTAATCTAAAACTAAAAGATTTTTAAGTTTTAATATTTTAGAAAATTTAGATAAATTAGTATATACAGTACTACATACTCTAAATTATTAGTGCACAAAAAATTAAAAAATTGAATACTAGTGAAATAATTATCTATATATATTTGAAAGTTCTTTGTATATAGAAGGTGCTTAGCTAAATGCTAAACTAAACAACCTGTATTATTAATATTGTTAATATGTTTTAATTCACTATTTTTTTTAATTCTTGAATAAAATACAAATGTTTATATATAACTAGCATTACAAAGAAAAAATTTTTATATTCCTCTAGCATTGGTTTATTTTTTATTTTAAATGTAAATATGCTACAATTAGAAAAACAAACTATTATTTCATCAATAGAAACTTGTGTACTAGAAATATATAATTTTTTAAATATTTTCCAAAGATTTGAAGCCAATAGTTTAATTTTTGAATACCAATAAGATTTAGATTCAGTTGGATTAAAAATATAAAGAAATCTTTTAATTTGTTAGAATTAATATAAGATATAAATTGTTTAATATTATGAACTGCCATCTTTTCATTAAAGTTCTATAAATTCTCAACTGCATAAATTTTGTAAACATCAATATATATAACTAATGCAATTTGCACTTTTAACTTCTTTAAAGTTAATGGAACCTATATATATCCTTCTTCATAACCCTTAATTTACTTATATTTGTTTGTATTTTTAACAATTATTTGTAATTGTTCATCACTAAAACATAATTGAAATATTATAATTGAACTAATAATACCTATTTGCATTTCATGTAGTAGTGTTAAATAACTACAATGCTTAGAAAAGATATGTAATAACTCAAATTTGAATAATTCTGAAAGGTTAGGTTTATTTCAGCTTTATAGCTAATTGTCTTTTTTTTACTTTTTATTTGCTTTACTTGCTTCATCCATATTATCATCCATTTTATTCATTATGCCTAATTTATTAGTTTCATTTAATTCACCTATCTGGCCATCTATCCTTATACCTCTTTGGCCTTTTTTACTTTTTTTATGAGTTGCTCTAGTGTTTATTTTATTAATTTTTTTTTTACTCTTCTTAATAATTTAATATTGAAAGCTTCTTTAACAAAATTACTAATTTCAATTGTTTGATCCACAAGTGCATTTCTGTAATGATACTTAAAGATTGTCAAGTACTTTGAATCAGATGCATTGTTGTTAGAAACATTATTATTAGTAATGTATAATGATTTTTTCTTTTAAATTATACTTTTATTTATATTAAAAAAATTTTTTTTAATATATAAATATTTAATTTAAATTACATTTCAAATTTTAAAGATTTGTTGAACTTTACTGTTGATACTAATGGCCAAGAGATTTTCTAGAACAATGATTATTATATATATTTACAATGTGATACAAAATACTGGTGGGCTTTTATATAATAAAGTTTTTTAGTATTTCAAAAAATTTTTTGGTAATTTAAAATTTGAAGCAAATTTGTCCTAAATACAGACTAAGAGATAAATCAAAACAAATATCTTTTAAAGATTTTAAAAAACAATTTAAAGATCTTTTTAAATCAAATAATCAGCACTATTCTCCAAATATAATTTGGCTTACAACTAAATTAACTTAAATTAGTCAAGTTTCAATATATACAACTATAGAATATACAAAATTAATATATGAATTTTTAATAGATAAATTACCAAAAAGTTAGCTTTTAATAGAATAAATTATAATTTAGAATAAGCATGTATTAAAATTAGCAGTTTTTAATTTTATTAAAAATACTTAACAATCAAGTACATTCAGTATTACTAGAATGAGTTAATTTATAAGCAAGACAAAAACTTAGTAATTTGTCTCATATATTAAGATAAAAACCAAAATTATCTAGTAGCAAGTATAGTTAATTTAAAATCATAAAAAAATACAATGCATATACAATTGCAACTTCAGTTTTTGATACTTATTAATGATACTAACTTGATATATAAAAATGCATGACTTAATTTACTAATAACAGTTATATATCATTAGGAAAATTTTAAAAGGGATATATATCGATAGTAATTCCTATATTTCTATTGATATATAGCACCCCCATTGGGTATTATCATTAGTGATTTGTAATGATATATATCAAAAATTCGTTAAAATTTCTTAAACTTTGAATTTAA